GTTTTCGTTTTTATCTTTGCGGATTTTATAAAAAAATATCACATTCTCTATCTCGTAAAAATCGGATATTTATCGACTGAGTATCCGTATAATTAAAAATCGGATACGCGCAAATATCCGTATAATCTATATGAATAAGATTTTCAAACATAAACATAAACCAAATATTTAGTAAAATCATATTATTTAATTCAAAAATACATTTAAAATATGAAAATTTATATATTTAGAATATACATAAATTTATAGAAGTTTTTCAAAAATATATATTGGATTTAAAATTAAAATCTAGATATTTTGATAAATAACTTTAGAAAAGTAAGAGATATTTTTTAATATATTTACGAATATCTACGGTTAATCTATCTTAAAAATATAAAATCCAAATCCGAACCCATTATATAAATTTGTCATTTTATTGCACCCGGTTTCATCTTCATTTAAAATTGAGTATCTTTTTTTCAAAAATATCGGATACCCGTTTAAATGTCCAACCCTACTCGTAAGTATTAAATAATTAAATTATTATAACTTTAAAATTTCACACCTTATTAGTGGGACCCATACAGATGATCCATCAAACTCCCAAATATGACGTAATATATAAGGTTTTCTTTTTTCATTTTTAATTTGTGACCCAAGTTTTCCGACTCTTTAAATCATGGCATATGAGGATTTTGATTATTCCTATCATTTTTCAATTAATTTATTACGACCTATCATATCCAATCGACATAAGGGTAATCATTGTATATCATTGAAAAAAACAAGGTAATAATTAATTGTGTGTGTGCATATATATATATATATATATATTTGAAAATAGATAAAGTATCTTAACATTATTATATTGTACATATCTTATATTTAAGTTATATTTTGTTGTACAAATTAAGTTGTATTGTGTGGACCCCACCGTTTTTCATTTTAAATGTATTTTACGTGATTTAACAAATCAAATCTTATGTTCCATATTTTTTTCCTTTTTTTTCTTGTTTTCCATTTTTTAAATTGTTATTTTTATCGTTGATCAAACAAAAAATCATTATCAATTGAATAATAATCAAAATAAAACTAAAAATAAAAAATTTAAACATATTTAAAAATTATGATTGTTATTTTAAACCATTTTTATTATTTTTTTATTTGATTTTATGTATTTATTATATTTATCAATTTATCAGAACGTAAACACAGACACATTATAGAAACGGGTCTATCTCTCTTACATCATGCGTCTCTTCCCACTTCGTATTGGTCCTTTGCTTTTTTGACCGCCGTTTATCTTATTAATCGGCTCCCCTCTCCGAAGTTGACCATGGCGTCACCGTATTCGTCTCTCTTTGGTATTGATCCTCATTACAGTAAGCTTCACTCCTTTGGTTGTCTTTGTTATCCTTGGCTTCGTCCTTACTCAACTCACAAACTTGATCCCAGATCCGCTCCTTGTGTCTTTCTCGGTTACTCCTCGTCTCAAAGTGCCTTCTTATGTTTTGATTTTCTCCGCTCTCGCCTTTTTGTTTCTCGTCACGTGGTCTTTCATGAGTCCATTTTTCCGTTTAGTGATCTCTCTCGGTTTTCTTCCTCATTGTCATCGGTCTCCTCTGAATCCTCTTCTCCTTCGTCTCTCGGTCCTCAGGTCACTCCAGCTCAGACTTACATTCCGCCGATCATTCCGCCATCCTCGACAATGCCCCTGAGTGTACATTCTTCACCGGACTCCGCTGGTTCTTCCTTGTCTGGCTCGGATTCGGATTTAGCTGTTGATTGCGGAGCTAATCATCGGGTGGCAGTTGCTTCTCCACCAAGGAATACTCATCCAATGCAAACTCGTCGGAAGAACAATATATCTAAGCCTATTGATAAGTTGACTCTTACAGCCTCTTTTTTGGATGCTCACAGGGAACCAACGTCGATTTCTCAAGCGATGAAAGATCCTCATTGGCGTATGGCGATGAGTGATGAATTTAACGCTCTTGTTCGGAATGATACTTGGGAGTTAGTACCGTCTACCTCGGCAACGAACATTGTTGGTTGTCGTTGGGTTTTTCGGGTTAAAACCAACCCAGATGGTTCTCTTGATCGGTACAAGGCATGCCTCGTAGCCAAAGGTTTTCATCAGCGTCCCGGCATTGACTTCCATGAGACCTTCAGCCCGGTTGTCAAACCCACTACCATTCGACTTGTTCTTAGCCTTGCGGTTACTCATAGCTGGAGCATTCGTCAATTGGATGTAAACAATGCTTTCCTACAAGGAACTCTCTCGGATGAAGTGTATATGCATCAACCGCCGGGTTTTATTGACAAGGATCGACCGGACTTTGTTTGTAAGCTTCAGAAAGCCATCTATGGTCTTAAACAGGCTCCTCGGGCTTGGTATTCGGAGCTACGGAATTTTTTACTTGCTCGAGGCTTCGTCAACTCAATGGCTGATGCTTCCTTATTCATCCTCCGTGGCACCGATTTTAATCTCTTTGTGCTTGTTTATGTGGATGATCTTATAGTGACGGGGAACTCTCCACCACAGATCCGAGACTTCATTGCTGCTATTTCGGCTCGGTTTTCTCTCAAGGATCTTGGCGACCTTTCTTTCTTTCTTGGGGTTGAGGCTACTAGATCGAGCAAGGGTCTCTTCCTTAGTCAAAGGAAGTACATCTCCGATCTTCTTCACCGCACTAAGATGCTTGATGCCAAGGCCGTTTCGACACCCATGGTTTCGACATCTCGCCTCACTCTCCATCTCGACGATGCCCTTTCAGACCCGTCAGAGTATCGAACTGTGGTTGGCAGTCTCCAATACTTGTCACTCACGCGTCCGGACATTAGTTTTGCCGTAAACAAGCTCTCCCAGTTCATGCATGCTCCCACTGACGTACACTGGACTGCAGCCAAGCGTGTTCTTCGATACCTCGCAGGCTCTCGGACCACGGGTATTTTCCTCTCGGCGAATAATTCTCCCTCGCTTCATGCCTTTAGTGATGCAGATTGGGCAGGTGATCCTGGGGATTTTAAATCCACCGGAGCATTCGTGGTATACTTTGGTGGTCATCCGATTTCGTGGTCCTCGAAGAAGCTTCCTGGACATTCTCGCTCCTCTACCGAAGCTGAGTATCGGTCCGTTGCCAATTCGGCAGCTGAGTTACGATGGATCGTGTCTTTACTCACTGAACTCGGTGTTTCGCTCAAGTCTGTTCCGACTATCTATTGTGACAATATTTGAGCCACCTACCTTAGTGCCAATCCTGTGTTTCATTCTCGTATGAAACATTTGGTATTGGACTATCTCTTCGTTCGTGGTCAAGTTGAAACCGGTACACTTCGTGTTCTTCATGTCAGCTCCAAGGATCAGCTCGCCGACGTTCTCACTAAGCCGCTTCCTCGCACCGCGTTTCATGACCTCTGTGTCAAGATTGGAGTCACCTCCGGAGCTCCAACTTGAGGGGGCGTATTGGACGATATGGAAATAATTTAATATTATTCACAATAGGAAGTATTCCTATTATGTAGATAGTGTTGTTAGTCATATCTCTACCCAATGTAATATATATATACGTACTCTATTCTAAACCTAATATATGAGAGAATATTAATTCTGTTACATATATATGAGAATAATGATTAATCCCTTGAGATATTTAGAATTTGTGTAAGCATTAATCGATATCTAGACATATATATTAATTAATTAGTCGGACCAAAAATTTGTGTAATTGTTCCTTAAAATAAATGCACGCGTGTCGGTATGATGTGCACCTGAGTGCTGGAGCTGGAGTATATGAGAGAATATTAATTCTGTTACATATATATGAGAATAATGATTAATCCCTTGAGATATTTAGAATTTGTGTAAGCATTAATCGATATCTAGACATATATATTAATTAATTAGTCGGACCAAAAATTTGTGTAATTGTTCCTTAAAATAAATGCACGCGTGTCGGTATGATGTGCACCTGAGTGCTGGAGCTGGAGTATATAATAATATCACAAATATATAATTATAATGTATATGTAACGTTTTTTTTATCGAATATAATAAAAGGCAGCGTATCATAGATATGCTTTGATTAATTAAGTAAAATATAGTGGTTAGTGAGTCATAACCTATAGTTTTCCCTGGATTCCATAAGAGAAATATATATATATATATATAATAAAAAAAATTCAAAAGAGGGAAAACCTAGTTTTCATAGACCAATGACAGGCAGAATTCCTCCCTCAATTCCGTCATTTAATTATATATAAAATAAATTGCAGGGCCATTTAATCGACAAATTAGGCTTTTGTTTGAGATTCAAGACAATGGGGCGGCAGCTTTGTGTTGACAACATTCACGACAGTATTGTACCATGTCATGTAAAAACCTAAATGCATACTTTAACTCTAATATATATGTATGTGTGTGTCCGTAAATTTAATGAGATTAAGCAACTTAAAATAATTACCCAATTTTTTAGGGTTTGCAGAATATAAAAATTCTTTTTACTCACAATTAAAAAAAAAATAAAGCTTGAGGTCTAATATGTTCAAGAAGATAGAAAATATATGTTCTAATATATCTATAAGGTATATATATAATCTGAATTATATTAGTATTTTTTATATCCATTGTTTTAAAAATGATAACAATGGAATTATTAAATAATAAGATATCTAGTGTTTGAACTTTTGTTTATTTCTTAAAAATTTATAGATAGTTCTATCTTTGAAGTGTGTGTGTAAAGAAATATGTTAGTAAGATTATTTTGAAATATCTGAAACTTGAGTTGGCAAAGGGTACGAAATGAATGTGGAATACGAGATGAATTTTAATTGTCTTTTGCACGATATGAAATTAATCTATGTAAAAAAGATAACGGGACGACAAATAAAATGAAATTGAAAATGATGATTGAAAAGAAAAGAAGAGGAAGAAGAAAGCAAGTCTGCATAGGCCCCACATAACATGTCCTCTCTGATGTGAGCTGCATCACATCTCTCTCTCTCTCCAATTTTTACTATTTCTTTCACCTCACTCAACCTCCATTGTTCTTGCCTGATTTAGCAAACCTCTCACCAGCAAAATTAAAACCCTTCTCCTCTCATTCTTGACCCAAGATCTCCTCATCAAGCACACCACCTTGGTCATCATCATCATCACTGGAGATCATGTCGTGTTCCGGAGAAAGAGGAAAGAGCTTGATGGAGGGACCGGGATCAGGAGAGCAGCAACCGGCGACACCGAGCCGGTATGAGTCACAGAAAAGGCGGGACTGGAACACGTTCGGACAGTATCTCAAGAACCAGAGACCACCTGTTCATCTGTCTCAGTGCAACTGCAACCACGTTCTTGATTTCCTCCGTTACCTCGACCAGTTCGGCAAGACCAAGGTCCACGTCCCTGGCTGCATGTTCTACGGCCAGCCCGAGCCGCCAGCTCCCTGCACTTGCCCACTCAGACAGGCCTGGGGGAGCCTCGACGCTCTCATAGGCCGTCTCAGAGCGGCTTACGAGGAGAACGGCGGCTCGCCCGAGATGAACCCTTTCGCCACCGGAGCGATCAGGGTTTACCTCAGGGAGGTCAGGGAGTGTCAGGCCAAGGCAAGAGGTATTCCGTACAAGAAGAAGAAGAAGAAGCCGACACCGAAAAAGGATCAAGATTCTTCTTCTTCTTCATCGTCCTCCTCCTCGTTCCGCTTCTCTTAGATTTGGCTTCTTGTCGAATCTTGAATCTCGCCGGCTTCTGTCTCCAATGGTAACCTTTCTCCTTCTTTTGTTTTGTCCTTTGTGTCTTTTCTTTCATCACAAAGGTATCTGAATCTTTCATCCGATTCTAATATGTTCGTAAGCTATTCACATATTTTATAGATTCATATCTTAATTAGTCTTCTTGACTTAGTTTGATCAGGACTTATTGGACTATATATACATCGAGTGTATATATATATATATATATATCAATCTATATATATATATATATATCAATCGGCCGGTTCTCGATCTCATCTTTGATTATAATCAAGTCTGAAACTTAGATTCACTACCGGCTTAGCGACAAGTCATAGTAGATAATGGCCATGCATGAAACCCTAATTTGGACAATTAATTAGCTATGAGATATGCATGAAAGAGTAAAGATTCTTCTCTGAGAGGAACTGATCAATCAAGAACACGATCATAAGATTGAATGGAATTGACGGGTTGAATTAATTAATAGAAGATGTTAATGATTCTTTTTGTTATTTCAGATGGTTTATGTATAATTGTTCCTAATCTTGCATGTTTAATTACGAACAAAGCACGGACACACATTGACGACTGTTGTGCGACAGTGGCGGTTCGAGGCTGTAATAATTGGATCTTTGAATGCTACGGGATTTTAGTTATATGATGTGCCTCTTTTAAAGATTTTGTAGATTCTGTGCCCCATCCATAAGCTAAGGGCATCAACCTCGATCTTTTTGCCATTAATTTATTTATAGACTAAAGAAAAATGACACATAATTAAGTGAACCCTGCTATATGATTATAACCTATGGTTATATTAAGGTTCTTTAACAACAGAAACACATAATATTTTAGTGTTTAATTCCATATATGCTTTAATGCTTTTTCCATCTCCATTTTGCAAAATTTCATGGACGAGCACATTCTGGTGCTAGAATCTCTCTTTATATATATATATATATTTATATATATGATCAAAGCTAGAAAGAATCAATTACATAGATATGACATTGAAATTGTTTATACTCGGAATCAGTTTGGTTAGTATCCGAATCTTGAACATAATTTGTGTGTCAAGATAAGGAATCAAACGGTACACCCCACATGTATATGATGAGAACATGTAACTATTCTAAGGCATATGTAAACTTTGTAAGGACGTACTATGAAAACAATTATGCATTTGAAATTTTTTCCCCATCCATCTAATTATAAAGTATATACGCTTTTTGTGAATAGTAAGTACATAGATTCTGTGTGTATACACTTCGGGAAAAGATCTTTGTCTCCATTAGGTATGGAAAAGCTTGCCCGTCATCGTACGCACATATTTGTGTATATATATACACCGTATCGTATAATTAATCATAATCATATGTGTACATTTGTGTGTATATATATGTGTCAAGACTATATATGGCATACAGGTTACATAAGAACAATTGAATGTATGAGCTTATTAATCATGTGGTGATAACTATGCAATATATATATA